GTCAGTCTGTGTCACTAACTCACATGCGTCTTCTACTTGCGGCGATGTGTAGGAAGTAATACTTTTTGTATTTTAATATATTTATTAAAATTGTTATTATTATTTATTTTGAATAATAGTATGAATGACAGGTCACCTTATATGATAGTATGAATAACAGGGTCCAATTTTATAAAGCTACATGTTACAATTCTACTGGCAAATTGACATTGATGCCACAGTCTCGACCAATCACGAATGCGGATTCCGTCAACGTTGCCAGTAATTTACCTGTAGCCTGTAAATTGTAGTTTTATAAAATAGGTATATATATATAGGCCACATTTTAGAAAAATCTTGGGAAAATAATTCTCCAATAGATTGTATTTGTTGCTGAGGTGTAAACTGCTGGGTTTCATGCTGGGGTGAAATCAGTTGGTGGAAGTTACCATGATCGCTGCTAATTGTTGCGGTGCTCGACCACGACAAACGCCTGCGGTTTTTAAATCTGCGAAGCAATTACATAACTTCGATTCTAAAGTCAAACTTATCGTCGTTCAATTCTTTGACGGATGGCAGGAGAGATATCATAAATTCACGGTCATTGTCAATTAATTCAGATTCCGATTCCGCGGGATTTGTCTGGATAGCTTTTAATATTTCTGCATCGACCGCATTTAGCCTTTTCGTTCCCCTTCGAATCGTGGTAGATGTGGATGTGGATGGGGAAGATATTGATTGGTCGAGGTGACTATGTGATGTTTGTTGGCTTTCAGAATCATTTTGAGTTGGTATGCTTGAATCAGTTTCGTCGGGTGTTACAGTCTTGAGTAGAAATTGTAGGTTATCAGTGTAAATGTACTTTTTTTTGCAGCTTGTCCTTACTTAGTCTTAAGGGACTTTATAAATCTGTCTCGAATGTTACTCCACTTGTTTATGACAGCACTTGCTGAAACAATAAAATTTAACAATTAAGATATCCCGCAAGTCGAAATACCTTCACTGATACGTCATATACCTTCCAACTGGGTATCAAGACTATAAGCAGAATAGTGACACAAGTATGTCACCAAATATGGATTACTTTAAGTGGTGAACACTTGGCTACACCTACTACTGAGCGATGGTTATCACAAACTGCATCGGTTGTGTCGAAGGAAACACATTCGGATTGAAAAGTTTCCGAAATCTGGCACTATGAACTTTAATTATAAGGTATATTTTTCAATTGTACTTCTGGCAGTAGTTGATTCATATTACAGATTCGTATATGTTGATATCGGTTCATACGGTAAAGACTGCGACAATTTTTCAACGTACAAACTTCTATCAACTACTCACTGAAGGCAGGTTGAGTATACCTCCACCTGTTCCACTGTACTCATCTCAAAATAACAGAATGCCGCATGTTATACTAGGCGATGAAGCTTTCCAGCTCACTGAACATTTATTACGTCCTTTTGGCGGTAACCATTTAGATGTGAAAAAACGTATTTAAAACTATAGACATTGTCGTGCACGAAGATACGTTGAATGTGCATTTGGCATTATGGCCAATAAATGGCGAATATTTCATCGCCCTCTAAATGTAAACAAAAAACTTAGCATAAGTATAGTTAAGGCATGCGTCGTTTTGCATAATATTGTGCGTGAAAAAGATGGCTACAGAGGTGAGGATATTGTCATGTCTATTATGCACGATGGGCTGACTGATGTACCAAGGGTAGGAAGTGTACCGCATGGTGGGCGTACCGCTAATGACATAAGAAATAATTTTGCTGAATACTTATTACGTATAAGCCCAGAAGGCTCCTCACCTTGGCAAATGAATAAAATCTAAACTTGTAATTACTTAATTAAAAACATAAATAATAAACTACCATGTACTTACTAATTTCGTCTTTGTTTTTCTGGTCCATATCCTCAAAGTTCGGCTCTAAAAAAGGCACAAACATCGCGCCATGCATTTATACGCAAAATTTTATCTTTGGACACTTCCTTGGTTTTATCCCACATACATTCTTTACTTACTATAACTTCTATTAATGAATAAATATCGTATTTAAATTTTTTGGCCATTTTTATTACAATGCTATATGATAATTGATGACAGACAAAATAATAACTGAGCTCGTGTACGGTGCGACGGCGACGGCAGTGTGTGGACAAGTTCGTAAGTGTTTTGTATTGCCAGCACATCGGCCCGTCAAAATCTCGGGCCACCTCCTAGCGGTCACGCCGATCTCTCGCAATTTCGGCGGCCGGGATGACGGCGCTCGGGTGACGGATGTGCGGTGGACACTCGGCTAAATTAAATTTCGGCGCCGTCATCTCGTCCTCGGTAACGTGACGGTGACGGTGGCGGTGCAGTGTTCACCACCGCCGCTCCCGCTGCAGTGTTCACAATTAGTGATTGTCAACTGCTCGGAGATTGCGCCCGTGTCTTTCGAATTATTACGACGTTTCAGTATTAGACATGAACGTGGATGATGAAAGTAATCTAATATTAGCCACTTGTGCAGTTATTATAGGTAGAACTCTCAAAACACGAAATTGTTGGATCAGACCAAGTTTAAGGAGTCGCAATTGTTACAGTACTAGTAAAAAATTAAGTGATTTAAAAAAAGACGACATGGTTTTACAGAAAACCATTTTTTTAAAACATTTTTATCACTAACCAGTACTGAGATTGAATATTTACGTAATATCATTGGACACGGAACAGCTAAACAGGATACAAATTACAGAAAAACCATTCCACCAGTAGACAGATTGTTAATAATGTTAAAGTATCTAAGCTCGGGAAATTCATTCAGTAGCCTTTGCGACGTCTTCAAAGTATCTCCTCAACTTATTTCAAGCATAATCACTGAAGTGTGTCACGCTTTGGTTGAAGAGTTATTATATTATGTGAAAGTAAGTATACAAAAATGTTTTATATGATAAATATCTGGATTATGTCACTGCGTTCAGAGTATAAAAATATTTATTATTTTAAAAATTTTATTCCAGATACCAAAAACACCGGAAGAATGGAGATAAGTTGCAGATGTATATTTTAAAAAATGGAATGCCCTAATAGTCTTGGATCAATGGATGGAAAACACATAAAACTTAAATGCCCTCCAAGGAGTGGAAGTGAATATTACAACTATAAACATTATTTCAGTGTTGTTCTCTTTGCGTTAGTAAATCCGGATTACAATTTTTTGTACGCTAATGTGGGATGTCAGGGTCGGATTTCAGATGGTAGTGTCTTTAATAACTCCGCATTATGCAGAGTGTTAAATGATAATTATTTAAATATACCAGATAAATAATCCTTTCCCTGGACGGAATTTACCAGTTCCGTGCTTTTTTATGGGTGATTTTTTTTATAGGATAGGGTGACAATCGAGCACACAGTCCACCTGATGGTAAGTGGTTGCTGTGGCCCATAGACATCTACATCTATCCTCGATTACGAATCAAAATGCAGATGTGTTGTCACCCGTGAGGACTAAGATGGAATGCCTCGTTTCCAGTAAAATGGGTCGCCGGTTCTCTACACTCACCATACGAAATACAGCAGCATTAAGCTACTATTTCACGCTGGTATACTGTGAGAGCGTGGTCCTTCCCCGGTCGAGCCGACCCATTCGTGCTACAACTATACATCTAATATAACTGCAGCATGGCTCTACCACGTGATGATGCTTTTCCATTGGAAACTCATATTATGAAAACTTATGATGGTAATCACATAATAATATCTCCAAAGAGGATTTTTAATTATCGTATACGCAGAGGGAGAAGAGTAGTTGAAAATGTGTTTAGGCAGGTAGCAGACAAATTTCAGATTTTTCAAAACGTATTCAGATAATCCCAGAAAAAAGCTTCGATTGTAACATTGGCGTGTTTACATTTACTCAATTTTATCAAAAAAACCGGTGCACTACAGTATAATGAACACGATTCTGAAAATAAACAAGGAGAAGTCATTCCCGGTGAATGGGGAAGGCATCCTCATGAAATTTGTTTAGTTAACATGCCGAGAGAAGATAATGATACCACCTCAGATGCAATAGTCACCGCAGAGGAAACAAGAATAGTTTCACAAATTATTTTCTTTCTGATGTCGGAAGATTAGAATAGTAATTTAACCAATAAACACCTCATAGTCAACTCAAATAAAACACTCGTACTACTTATAATCATTTTTAATTATTAATCAGACGAGAAACATCTTGATTGTAGTTTGGATAATAAAGCGTTTAATAAAGTATGAAATGTGTTTTTAACTTTTTATAAATCAATGACTTAAATGTTAGTAAACGAAATTTAGGTCATTGAATACGAAATTTCCGATTTGTATAAACAAACTCAAGAAAATTGACATTTCCATACAATCAATATTTTAATTTTTAAAAGAAAATTACATAGGTACTTAAACTCTTATTTTTCAAAGGATGTTAAAATATTTTCAATATCCTGGCTACTACGGATGATGATACTGAGGATTTGTAGCTGCATCTTCTGTATTCAATGTTTCTAAAGGTGGAACTGTTTGTAGATTTGCGTTAAGTTGGTTAGAATACTACACGTGTGAGTACATGGGTGTTGAATAATTTGTAGGTAGGGTAGCAGCCGTCGGTGTTGAATAATTTGTAGGTCAGCCGTCGTATAGTATCCTGGATGACTGTGTGCACTTGACGGTCTTTAAAAATCTGAAAATATATCGGCTCGACAACCAGTTTCGGCTTCAAATATTATATTATTAATCCGATGCCTCACAATAGCTTTTATTGAGCGATCCGTTTTTCTTAACTGGCTCGCAATAAAATCTCCAAATAAACCATCCTCATCTTTTTATTTAGAGGCCTTTTTTCGTTCGGAGATATTTCTCATAATAGTCAGTGCTTCTGACACTGGCTCATCTTTTTGATGGTTTCTAGGACGAGGAGCAAATAAACTTTTGAAATTATATTTTCTGTCCACATCTCTGGTAAATCTTGTGAATCCTAAAGCAAATTATAGAAAAGATGCCTACAATTCTCAAGTATCGATGGTATGACTTTACTGCAGCAACAGAAGAGGTCGAGTTCTCCGACCTAACGATGGTCTCCAAGTTCCTGAACATCGAAGCAGACAAATGTGGTGCCTTCGCGACCTCAAAAGAGAAGAGCGGTTTCAGAAGAACTCATCGACAAGCGACGCATTCTACAAGGGAAAAGGAGTTAAAAGAAAGAGATTCAAGACAGTCAACAGAGAAGACTTGTCCTATGTATGAAGGTGGACTCCTCGTCGACTGTCAGAAGTTCCAGAAGACGTCAGTGCAAGATCGATGGGCAACAGCAAAGAAAAAGTCACGTTTGCTTCAAATATCTTCAAGGGAAACATCAAAAGGAGAGCTGCAAGAACCACCATGTAAGGAATGCAAGAGGTGGCATCATCATTTGCTGCACGTCGAATCAGAAGACAGGACCTCGGGAGAGAAGAAGGCGGAAACACAAGAAGGAGTAGCAAGCGTCATGACATCAGTAAATGCAGTCATCAACGCAAGGGTATACCTGAAGATAGTTCCAGTAGAAATCTTCGGGCCAAAAGGATCCAAAAGAATATTGACCCTCATGGATGAAGGGTCGACGGTGGCGCTTATTGATGAAAAGGTCAAAGCAAGAAGAAGGATTCTCAGACACTGGACCTTGTAGTGAAGGGGGTTCATTAAGGAAGCAAGAAGACCTTGAAGAGAGTCTGGACTATCAACGAGCTGAAGCTTGCACCGCAGTTCCTAGAGAAGAAAAGGAGAAGAATGCCAATATTTCAAGAAGATCGCCGACTCTCTTTATTACAAAGGGGAATCACTACAACTGCTCATCGATCAATCGCATCATCATCATCGCATTCGACCAGAAGACAGAGATAGCCTGGAGTTTTTGTGGCGCGGGGCTCGTTGCCATTTGCCTCCGAAGGAGTACAGGATGACATCAGTTATCTTCAGCGCAACATCATCTACGATCACAGCAATCTATGTGAAGAACCGAAACGCAGCGGACTTCAAAGAGCAGTATCCAGAGGCAGCAAGGGCGGTCGAGCTAAACTATTATATGGACGATTACCTGCACAGCTACCACTCAGAAGAGGACTTTAGAAAAGTGACGACGCAGATGGACTTCATACACAAGAAGGCAGGCTTCGAACTCCGGGGATGGGCGTCAAATCAACCCGAGCTGCTGCAAGACGTGAAGATCGACGCTATTGAGAAGACAGAAGTGGACCTAGGCGAGAAGGAAGAGAAGACACTAGGACTGCGCTGGTTCACGAAAAGGGACTCCATCCGCTTCAGAGCAAACCTCCGAAACACGCCGGAGGAAATCGCAAGGGGACTCAAGGTGCCTACGAAAAGGCAAATCACCAGCGCAGTAATGTCGACCTTTGACCCACTGGGTTTAGCATCACCAGTTCTCATCCAAGGCAAGAAGCTGCTTCAGAACATATGGTGAAGTGGCGTCGGTTGGGATGACGAAATAAAAGAAAGGGAGTACGAAGCATGGAAAACCTACCTGGAGAAGATGAAACTGCTCCAAGGCCTGCAAGTTCCAAGACGCCTGACGACACATTGCACCGAGGGGGAGTTACACACTTTCGTGGATGCGAGCGAGCTGGCGTACGCAGCGGCAGTTTATTCGAGAACAGAAGATCAAGATGGGACTTACCACGTCAGCTTAGTGGCAGCAAAGGCGAGAGTCACTCTACTGAAGCCAGTGTCCATCCCGAGACTTGAACTACAGGCAGCCCTCCTAGGGAGCAGACTGGCTCATTCAGCAGAAGAGGAATTGGACCAGAAAGTAACAAAGAAAACATTTTGGACAGACTCCAGCATCGTACTTTCCTGGATAAAAACAGACCCGAGAACCTTCAAGACGTTCGTGGCTCATCGCTTGGCGGATATAGAGGACCTCACCAAACCGCAAGACTGGAGATGGGTACCTACAGCGCAGAACCCTGCAGATGACGCAACGCGCGACGTACCAGAAGACTTAGACTGCAACCACCGATGGTACACCGGACCGAGCTTCCTGAAAAAAGAAGAGGCACATTGGCCGGCACCAAGAACCTTCAAGAAGACAACCACCGGTGAAGAAATGGCAGCGGACGTCGCAGCAACAGCACAAACATCTCATCCATCACCAGACCCCGAGAGATTCTCTTCATGGAAGAGTCTTTGGCTAGCCACAGCGAGAGTACTGAGTTTTTACAACTCTGCAGAAAAAGGGATAAGTTCAACGTCTGCAAACAAGATCCCACCTGGAAAATGACACAAAGAAAAGGAACGAAGACTCTAGAGAAGCAACACAGATCTTCGAAAATAATAGAAGGGAAATATATACCGCTGGACACCGAACTACTTGAGCAAGCTGAAACTCTTTTGCTGAAAAGAAGCCAAGACAATAGTTTCAGAGAAGACATGAAGTGCCTTCAGCAAGGAAAGCAATTAGAGGGCAGCAGTAAATTGGAAAGGCTCGACGTAGTACTAGAAGAGGGTCTCCTGCGGCTGAAAGGAAGAATCGACGCGATACAGGGTGTGACCAGGGACTACAAACGACCCATCGTGCTCGACAAGGACAAGACAACACAACTCATCACAGAAGAATTCCACTGCCACTTCAATCATGGAAATCACGCAACGGTGATGAATGAAATACGACAACGCTTCTGGGCACTCGGTCTAAGGTGAGCAATCAGGGCAGTTCAGCATCAATGTCAATGGTGCAAATCAAGGAAAGCACGACCGCAAGAAATGCCAACGGGAAAATTACCTACGAAAAGGCTGATGCACGGAAATCCTTATTTTACGTGCACGGGCGTAGACTACTTCGGCCCGATGATAATCACCGTGGCAAGACGGCATGAAAAGAGATGGGGAGCTCTATTTACATTGCCTCAAAACAAAAGCTGTGCACATTGAGCTAACTTCTTCGCTCTCCACCGACAGCATGATCATAGCGCTACGACGATTCGCCGCAAGAAGAGGGATGCCAAGAAAATCTACAGCGACAACGGGACCAACTTCGTCGGCGCCAACAAAGAAATAAAAGAAGCGTTCGACACCTTGCAGCATGAAGACCTCACCTCAGAAGCAGAGAAGATCGGCGTGCAATGGAAATTCATCCCTCCAGGTGCGCTAAATATGAGTGGCGCATGGGAACGTTTGGTGCCATCAGTCAAGAACGCACTAGACGCCACACTCCATGAACAGTATCCACGAGAGGAGGTACTCCACACTCTCCTCCTAGAGGCCGAGCACATAGTCAACTCTCGACCTCTCACACACCTCTCTGAGAACCTTGAAGAAGAAGCACTAACACCGAACCACTTCCTCATCGGGCGGTCCTGCGGCGCAGCGAGAATCGGCAGCTTCGACGACAGCGAACTCGTGGGCAGATCTATATGGAAGGCCACGCAATGGCTTACGACCACTTCTGGCAACGTTGGTTGCGAGAATATCTGCCCACTCTTTTACCAAGGAAGACGAAAGCAAGAACCAGCGTCACAGAACTGCAAGTTGGAGACATCGTGCTGATCGTCGACCACAGCCTACCAAGATGCACCTGGCCAAGCGGCAGAATCTTCCAGGTGTATCCTGGACCTAATGGGCGGACAATGATCGTCGACGTCGAGACGCGCGGAGGTGTGCTGAGAAGACCCAGTTCAAGAGTAGAGCTGCTGGTGCTGGGAGTATCGCCGAGCCAGGAGTATGGTGCGACGCACGAGGGGGAGAATGTCGGCGACAAGGCTCCATCTGCGGTCCTAGGTGCACTACAGTTACACACTACAGTTATGCATAATTAACCAGTGACGAACTGTGTTTTGTTTATAAGACTATTATAATTTCCTAATTAGTGTAGTTAGCGTGTATTAACTCAAATTAGAACATAATTTATAAGGGTTAGCTTTTAATAATAATTTTATAAGGAAGTTTTTAAGCAAAAATTTGTATTGTAAATACTTATGAAAATTTAAGTTTTGTTTTGTTAAATTAAAGGTTTAAATGTAATATAATATAAACAAAAAGAACTGAGTAGATCAGACATCTGTTTTAATAAATATAGTGAGTTAACTATTTTGTGGGGTTTTTGTTCTAGAAATTTTATATTTAAGAAATTTATAGCTTATATTATTATTTTATATTATAGAATAGTAGTAGAGAAATCTAACGATGTATAAAATATAAGGACTAAGTGAAAATTATAATAAATAAAGGTTCTAAAGGTTTCGGCTTAAAATAAAAATAACACGCGAGAAAGGCAAAACCGCATAAGCGTCCGTACGGTAACGCCGGCGGGTATAAAAGTCGAGCCGATTTCGGCTCAAGTCGCAGTCGCAAAACAAGTTGTTCAAAACTACTATAAATAAATAGCACACTACAGTACAGACTAGAAACTATAAATTTCTAGCGCGCTATTAAATACGCTATGTTATAGTGCGCTATTTATAAGAAAGCGTGTAGGAGGCCGGTAAGCGCGTTAAGTTTTACAGCACGTTATATATCTTAGCACGTTACATTACATGTCGTTCATTGGATAGATCGCGTGCTATATAAGAACATTATTTCGTAACGGCGCCTCTACACGTTGGCCAACACAGTGGCGAATGTAGTGGCCAATAGCATTGGCGAACGTGTAGACGGGGTGTTTGGGCTTCATTGGTATGCATTGGAACGATGGCCCGCAAGTTGGCGCGAGATCCGTGTGGTGTCGGTTTTTTACAAAAGATCAAAGGATTGTTGGCAGAGTTTGGTCGCCGTGTCCACACGTTGGTCGCGAGTTTAGTTTGCTACAAGCTCCCAGAGTGATTACACGCATCTGATTAAAATTTTATATTCACGCTTTGTAGGGTGGATGACCCAATTACCAGCCTTTTAGTGCCAATTTCCACTTTAAACATTCCTACTACTTTAATTCGCGCGATTTAATTATTTTTAAACATTTGTTTTAATCGATAAGCTATTTATAAAAAAAAATAATGAACATTTATTTGCAATCAGATTATTACGAGAACAATTTTAAAATCAAAAAAAAAAATGAAGCACGTCGTTTATACGTGGTAGAACCATGCAGTTATATTAGAAGTATAGTTGTAGCACGAATGGGTCGGTTCGACCGGGGAAGGACCACGCTCTCACAGAATATCAATGTAAAATAGTAGCTTAATGATGCTGTGTTTCGTATAGTGAGTGTAGAGAACCAGAGACACTTTTTAAAGAAAACGAGGCATTTCATCTTAGTCCTCACGGGTGACAACGCATCTGCATTTTGATTCATAATCGAAGATAGATGTAGATGTCTGTGGGCCACAGCAACCACTTACCATCAGGTGGACTGTGCGCTCGTTTGTCACCCTATCCTATATAAAAAAGCGTCGATTTCTTATAATTTAATCGTGCAAGTTTTCGAATCATCATCATCATTACAGCTCTTCACAAGTCCACTACTGAACATCTTCCTCCACAGACTGCCACAAAGCATGGTCCTGAGCCACTTTGCTCGTCATGAGTTTTTCATTTATGTTCTAAGTTATAATTAGTACCTATTATTAAGTCAGTGTTAATTATATTTATTGCTATTGTTTTTGTCTTTCTCAAAAAATAATTAAATTACCAAATAAATTATAAGGTGTTTTAATACATCAAATGTCTGACAGAAATGCA